GTGGGGGAGGGCACTAGGACCCAGCAGTTTTCCCCTGGTGAAGGGGAGTGGGGGAGGGCACTAGGACCCAGCAGTTTTCCCCTGGTGTAGGGGAGTGGGGGAGGGCACTAGGACCCAGCAGCGCCCCCCCCGCCCCCCGGTTCAGTGAGCTGCGGGCTGTGCGGGGATGGGGCTGTGTGGGATCTTGCTGTGCGGTGTAGGGGGCGGCCTGCCGTTAGCCGTGCTCCTGGCTGTTAGGCTGGGGTTGTTGTTGGCTGATGAGGTTGCTTTCCGTTGCCCCCCGTGTGGGGCTGAGCAGTTAGCGGGCTGTACCTCTCCAGCAGGCTGCAGGGAGACCGTGCGGGAACCGGGCTGCGGCTGCTGCTGGAGCTGTGCCCGGAGTCTGGGGGAACCGTGCGGGGTCTATACCCCTCGCTGCGGGGCTGGACTCCGCTGTTACCCCCGCAGCGACACCGAGTACCCGCTGCAAGCCCTGGTGCAGGGGCAGGGGCTGTGCGGGAGGCGCAAGGACCTGGAATACAACCGCTCCCGGGACACACACTCCGGTAAATATTCACTCAATCTCCGCGGGAAATACTCCCTCCGTCCGCCAGCAGCACAAACCCCTTCCCCCTGTTGTACAGGACCCTCTGAGCGGCTGCCCAACCTCTCCGCCGGGTCAGCAAAATGCTGCCCTCCCGACTTTTTGTTCACTTTCCAAACTTCAGCACAACTTGGGAAAGTTCACTAAAACTTTTACAGTGAGTTTAAACTCGGGACAGCGCTGTGTCGCCGAGGATCAGTGAATTCCACCCGGGGGGAGGGGATGGGGGTGGGGGGCGGTGGTGCTGCACGGTCTGTGGGAGATTTCAGGTTTCGGGAGCTTCGCCCCCCACCCCCCAATTTGCACGGAGGGGCTCTGCTTCAAACAACTGCGTTCATTTGTATAGCATCTTTCAAGCGCTAGAGAATCCCAGAGTGTTGCCCTATACAAAGATGTTGTATGGTCATGTAAACATTGATGGCTATGTTCACAGTGAGAGGGTCACACTGGCTGTGGTCGGGGTGAGGGGTCGCACTGTCACACTGGCTGCGGAGTGGGGTGAGGG